CTTTGATAATAACGTAGACTAATACAGGAATTAAATCATCGGCTGCAGGTACTGCTCTCTCAGTTGCCATTGAAAGCAGGTTCATGATGGTGGTAGCGCAACGAAAAACACATTGCAGCTTATCCCTAGGGGTTTTATAAGCTGATATCACGGCTAATTCCGCTTGAGCCCACGGCCAGGGGCATTCATAGTGATATATTTTAGGAATTCGTAAATCCTTATGGTTCGGTGTTACGACTTTGGCCAGTTTTCTAATGTGATCATAAAGTAATTGGTCCCTGTAGACGTCGCCGTCGCCATTTGGATAAAGCGCGTTGTGATAAACGCGTGCCATTACCGTCCTTTCGACCGCAACTCTTGCCAAATTTAATTGATTTTCGCACGCACCTGTATCAATTTATCATTTGCAAGCAGTTTCGTTGATTAATTAATTAATTAATTAATTATTATTACACATCGCAGAGAGAGTTGAGATGGTAAATTCGTGAATTAATCGACGTTTACTCACACTGCCAAATTGGATCGTTGTCTATTTTCGCATTAAGTTTGCCTAAGAAACTATCGACCAAATCTTGCTTCTCGTCTGCCAATGTTAATTTTTTAAATTCGTCGCAAAAACGCAACAAAAGCGACTCCTTTTTCTCCAGAAAAACTCTTACGCAGACAGACACGAGATGGTTATTGACAGCGTCGCGATCGCACTTGACTCTGACACATAATCTGAAATTTCATCACAACGTTATTATTATTACACAATTTTTATCATCATCACGTTTATCATCATCATCGTTAACGTTAACGTTATTGATATTTATCTCTTTAACTCTTTCCGTCCCTCATTTTTCCAACTTAATTTGTCGCTCGATTCCTCGATCAGTGTTGTCAAATGGATGCAACGATAGAAAATTAACGATCCACAGTGAAAACACAAGCGATTAAATTTGCAAATTCGACCAAGTATCTACCGTTCTCATTCAGTTGCGTGTAAAATTCACACAAATCCCTACTTTTAGACATACAAGTGAAACTTGTTTTGTTTCAACGGGGGCACCTTGCGACGGCGACGACGACGACGACGACGACGACGAGGACGACGAGGACGAGGAGGACGAAGAGGACGAAGAGGACAACGACGACGACGACGAGGACGACGAGGACGACGAGGACGACTAGATCTGTCCAAGCGATGAATCGAGCTATAAGAGAAAAAGATACTGGCCCTTGTCCTTTCACATCTTATCGTATAATACACCGAGAATATGTGACGTTAGAAATTACGTTCACGCACGATACGATATGACTTTTTAAAAACACTTGTTGTCAACAAATTAACACAAGAGGGACAGACGAGAGTTAAAAAGGAAAAGAGAAATTGGTAATCATACCTGTCCAAGTGAGCCAACGTGGAGAGTAATCCTTGGCGACATCTGATCAAATACGCGATATAAGGCGATCGTTTTTGATAATCGTCGCGCAACGATTTGAATAATTTCCTACAACCGTCATCGTTGAATAGTCTGACGCAACGTAACGTTTCGTGCAGATGCGCTATCAACGCTCTGTCTTGTAAATTAATAGCTTCTGCCAACTGCAACTGCAGGAATGCGACCAATTCATTTTCTTTTTGCGACCAATAATTCCTCTGCAACAAACGAGCCGTTGTTTTTTCTGTTAGTATTCGCTCGGCTCCGACGAATCGCATTCTGATCACTACGTGATCACTGTTCCATACGACATAGAGAAGCTACAGCACCTCGGACACAGCACTCCAAGAAACGTGTTGAAGATCAGCGGTGCTAAGTACCATTCTCAATTTTCTCTTTGCGTCAGAGAACGCGTAGGAAAGTTCAACGTTGTTCGGATCAATGAGAAGCCTTTCGTCCTCGGTAGGCTCTTTCGTACGGGATTGATTACTTTCTACAGATGCTTCCGTGTCGCTCGCGGCACTTGGTTTCCTTCTGTATTTCGCCAAGATGTCGTCCGTGCTATCTAGAAAGTTTTTAGATCGTTATGCTTTATAGTTTAGCTGTGCCCGTTTAGTTTTCCCTCTTCCCCCCTTCCCCTCCCTTGTCTGTGTTTTAGGTTGCGCGTTCCATCATCTTTGCCATTCCCATTCCCATTCCCATTCCCATTCCCTTTGCCATTCCCATTCCCATTGCCATTCGCATCCTTCGTTTTAGCTAACTTCGTTGCAGCACGAAAGCAACAGTCAGAGAAACGTCAAAGGAAACGACGATATTTACCACCGTTGGCGTTGCCACCGGTCGACGATACATCTTCCGACATCATTCTACGCAATCTGTGCTGCCGTCCTACGTCGATGTTGTCGCCCGTGGCTTCTCGATCGTAACATCTGCCAATGTCGTCTGCACCGCGAACCATCTTGCCACGACGATTTCGCAGGGACATTTTCAATTTGCCGAAGAAGCTTCTTTTATTTTTCTGATCGTCGTCCAACAGTTCCTTGTCCCCGCGCTCCGCCGTCATATCGAAGCTAATACTTTTCGGTATGGCACCGCTGGATACACTCGGTTTCCGACAATCGTTCAACGTCACGTCGCAACTCTCACTCATCATCGTCCCCGCCGACAGCGGCAATATCGAACTTGCAGTTTTCATTCGCGTCTCGGAGCCAGAACTACTGCTGGATGTCAAGCTACCAGTGCTCAATCCGACAACGCCGTCCGGGCCGCTTTCGTTCACCGTTTCACCGTCCATCGAACTGACCAGGCTGCTTTCCAATTCCTGCGACTGGAAATTAACGCTTCGAAAATTAACCAGAATGCCGTGATAACGATAGACGATCGATTGAACGTTGTATACAGAGATAATAACGTAAGGCGATTGTATCGACGAGAGCAAAGGCAACAACAACTATTATTGTTATTATTATTATTATTATAACGACGAGGATCGCAACGACAAGAACAAGAATAATATTTAATATTAATATGGTAAAGAGACAAACCTCCGACTTCATGTTGGTATTGTGCGACTTTTCCGTGTTCGACGGAATTATAGACGGTGAGATATGATTGGCCAACAACAAAGCCGGCGCAACAGCTGCCACACCGATACGATTATGAGTCGAAGAAATTTGTCGTTCCATTTGCCGACCTTTTCCATTTTCGATGTGAAGTTTGTCTATGAGATGGACCAATCTATCCTCGCACAAGGATTTGCCATAATCGGTCGAACTGTCATCGGCAATGCTATTGGCATTCTTGTCAACGTATTCCGTATTCATGCTCGTTCGATAATTACAACCGCTTGCATTTTGTCCAGTTTGTACGTTCAATTGCGACGATGCCGACAGAGGCATCGTTGTTGGCAAAAGGACAACGTTTGCACGAGGGAATTGCACGTTGTTTTCTTGGTTTATCAACATCGACTGATGAAGATTCGCCGCTGACACGCATTCGCTCGACGTGGCATTCTCTAAAAGTGATTACAGACATGCGATATACAATTATTTAACGATTAACGATTAACGAGAGCTAGATTATCTAATCGTTTGAAATAATCTGACTCTGTGTGAAAATTAAAATATTATTCTTCGTCCTTACGAGGCATCGAGGCTTGTGCCAAAGTTTTCTCGGTTGTTTCAGTTTCGCTTCGAGGTTCAACTTCGATTTCGGATCTTGCGGTATCGTCGGATCTAAAACGAACGACAACGAACGCCATGTATCGCCGCCTTTGTATCTTGTACTTGCCTCCTCTTTCTCTTTCTCTTCGTTTCCATATAATATTCCATATTTATTCATAATTCGTAATTCGTACATTCGTAATTTTCCACCTTCCAGTCTCTCTCCGCCTAGCCCTTCTTCTTCTTCTCCTACCTTCTGCGTAAAACGTACCTACCTCGCAACACTAGCGGTATCATCGGTGTCGACTTCCGTCAATCTTTCGGAATCACTGGCCAATACGTCGGTGCTCCACGCTTCCGACGCAGTTTCGCTGACATCGAGCACAGCTTGCGGCACCGGTTCCGACGTTGTTGGCAAAGCTGGAGGATTCTGCTCGGAGGACGAAGGAGGATACAATATTTTCTCTTGTTGCTCGATTATTTCGCTGTCCGAGGCAAGAACGTCCGTCGACCAGGTATCCGATACCATCGAAACGGTTTCATCCCCTGGCATGGAATTCACACGCGTGCCAAAAGAACATTCAAACACTCTCGAACACACGAGAGATGATCTACGATCTATGATCTACGCTCTATTCTGACGCTGATCACTTTACTTTCTCTGTCAATCAAGGAATAGAGGAATCGCCGCCTTACCTTCGATCAATTTCTTTATCTCGAATTTACAGAACTTGTCGTCAATCTCGGATCGGCTTTGCTTGGTCGTCATGCTCGACGCAGGTAGATCCAATTGCCGAGTTTCACCCACCGTACTTCGTCCTTCGTCTCCCTCGGTAATTTGAGACGACGGGGTATCGCGACCTACAGATTCAACAATATTTCCTCCATGTTATCATTCCATCTAATTCTCTCTCGCGTTGTTGTTGTTCTTACTCTAGCTAGCGGACAATTTTACAACAATCTGAAATTGGACAACATGGATGAAACCTGATATATTGGGCGTCCCCCGTCCCGATACGCTGGCAGATACCATATCCGAGAGATTGTCATTTTGATCCTCCGTTTCCAGCTCGAGCGAGGAAGCCACGCTGTGATTCGAAGCAGCTTCCGACACCGCTTCCAAATTATCCGAAGTATTCCCAATGAAACCTTCGAATAAAACTAACAGCATTTTCAACGTTAACCAACCACTTTCTCTGCGCCTATTTCCCTTCGTAACGATAACGTTAAATTCACGTTTTTTAATTGCACGTATTAATTGCACACGAATTGGAAAAAAAAAAAAAAAAAAAAAA